CACTGACCGAGGCCTACAAGTGCCTGGCCAAGGCCAAGGCCAAGAGCCCCCTGGACCAGGAAACCAGGCTGGCGCAGCTACAGAGCAGGATGGCACTGGTGAAGAGGTTCATCCAGGCCCGCAGGTGCGCCCCCGGGGCCAGCGGGGCCAGCAGGGCCAGGCCGGGCAGATGTGACTACAGGGTCAGGGCTGACCACAGGAAACCGCAGCCAGCAGAGGGGCGGGACAGCAGATGGGAGCTCGCTCGGGACAGCACTGCTGCTGAAGACACACCCAGCCTCCTCCTGGGGCCCTCAGGGCCGGGCACAGCCTTGGGAAGGCCTTCTGGAAAGCCCAGAGATGCTGAGACAGAAGCCTGGTTGGGAGCGGGAGGAGGCGGCGGATCTGGTACAGGAGAGGTGTGTCTGGGGAGCCATGGACCTGCTTAGGGTGTGCAGGGGCCGGGCAGGGGAGTCCTGAGTGAGGGCCACTATGTGACCTGGGGTGGTGGGGACCAGGGTGGCCAGCGGGCTCGTGCCTCTCCACAGGTCAACTGCCACCAGCTCCAAGCTTGTGGAGAGGAGACCCAGGCAGCCAGTCGTCTCGGTTTTCAGGAGAGGCCGAGATTCTAAGTTTATCTGAATACCTCCCCGTCTTTATGTATGGGCAGTAACTCGGCTTTTCTTTTTTTTTTTTTTTTTGAGACGGAGTCTCGCTCTGTCACCCAGGCTGGAGTGCAGTGGCCGGATCTCAGCTCACTGCAAGCTCCGCCTCCCGGGTTCACGCCATTCTCCGGCCTCAGCCTCCCAAGTAGCTGGGACTACAGGCGCCTGCCACCTCGCCTGGCTAGTTTTTTTGTATTTAATAGAGACAGAGTTTCACCGTGTTTGCCAGGATGGTCTCGATCTCCTGACCTCGTGATCCGCCCGTCTCGGCCTCCCAAAGTGCTGGGATTACAGGCTTGAGCCACCGCGCCCGGCCATAACTCGGCTTTTCAGACAGCTGCTGTGTGGACAGCACGGTGGGCACTGGCCCGAGCGCTTCAGGGCCCAACCTCCGTCTCAGCTGGCAAGGGCGCTTCCTTATCTGAGAAACTTTTCCAAAACGAGAGTTCCAGAAGTACTTTGAACAATGTTGGACCCTTGGAAGGGCACTGTCCGCTTGCGCACATCGATTCTGGGGTGTCAGCGTCTCACAGGTGTCTGCTGAGCTGAGGCCACAGGAGGCAGGAGAGGAGGAGAATCGATAGCAGCTGGTCGTCAGGGATAGCACAGGACGTGGGTGGAGGGGAGACGACGTGTGAGGGCCAGGGCGGGCAGCCTTCTACGTGCCAGGGGTCAGAGGGCAGGCCAGGCACCTGTCTGGAATGGCCGAGTCAGTGGGTGGCCAGATGGGCCCTGGACCCTCCTGACATTGGAGCCTGAGCTCCGCACGGCTCCAGTCACCTGCTCTGGACCACACTGTGTTCCAGCAGGCTCACCTCCCTGGTGTCGCCCCAGCTCCCAGGCCACACACCCTGCCCTGCCACAGACCCTCACGCCAGGCCACACGCACAACCTGTGTGCGGGCCAGCCTCTCTGCTTGGAGGATTCTTACCAGCGGCCTCGAGCAAGGGCTGCTGTGCGCCTCTCCACGCAACCTGTCCACACGCACCACGTCCCCTCTGGGTCACACTTTGTCCGGAGGTTTCTAGCCCCCTCTGGACTATTCCATGGAGCAGGAATAGGGTCGCAAGTCTTTGGTCTTCATGTCCAAGCCTAGGACCCAGCATTCAAGTGACCTGTGAGAGTGTTAAATGGGTGAGTTCATTTATGAATGAACAAATTAAGGAATTAATGAATTAACTTCATAAAAAGTTTCCTCCTGCCATTCCGGAGAGCTCCTCTTACAGGCCAAGAGTCTCCTCCGACCTCAGATAGCAGTAGGTGTTCAGGGCTTCAGGGTCCAGGCCTCATCTCTGCTCTCGGCAGGACATACACGGAGGACCCCAAGGAGTCCATCAAGCAGTGTGAGCTGCTCCTAGAGGAACCAGACCTGGACAGCACCATCCGCATCGGGGACGTCTACGGCTTCCTGGTGGAGCACTACGTGCGGATGGAGGAGTACCAGACGGTGAGGCCTGGGCGCTGCTCACTAGTGGCATCCCGCTACGCAAGGCTCCTGAAACGAAGGCTTAAGAGCTCAAATTGGCCGGGCGCGGTGGCTCAAGCCTGTAATCCCAGCACTTTGGGAGGCTGAGGTGGGAGAATGACTTAAGCCCAGGAGTTCAAGACCAGCCTGGGCAATATGGTGAAACTCCATCTCTACAAAAACGGAAAAAATTAGCCAGGCGGCCGGGCGCAGTGGCTCAAGCCTATAATCCCAGTACTTTGGGAGGCCGAGACGGGCGGATCATGAGGTCAGGAGATCGAGACCATCCTGGCTAACATGGTGAAACCCCGTCTCTACTAAAAAATACAAAAAACTAGCCGGGCGAGGTGGCAGGCGCCTGTAGTTCCAGCTACTCGGGAGGCTGAGGCCGGAGAATGGTGTGAACCCGGGAGGCGGGGCTTGCAGTGAGCTGAGATCTGGCCACTGCACTCCAGCCTGGGGACAGAGTGAGACTCAAAAAAAAAAAAAAAAAATTAGCCAGGCATGGTGGCACATACCTGGGGTCCCAGCTACTTGGGAGGCTGAGGTGGGAGGATCACTTGAGCCCAGGAGGTTGAGGCTGCAGTGAGATCTGATAGTGCCGCTGCACTCCAGCCTGGGGGACCTGGGTGACAGAGCGAGACCCTGTCTCAACAGAGAAACAAAATTGTCAGTAGCAAACAGTAACAGTCTCACCTGTTGCTGGCTGTTACTAGTGGTGCCACGTGGAAGCCACAGACTCACTTTTTGAAGAAATGTCTCCATGTACCCAAGTCTAAATAACCACAATTTCTTTTTCAGGCATTTTTACAAAAAAAGAAAACGGTGTTCCATTTTTTAGTCGCTTTATTATTTTTTAAATTTAGAGACAACACATTGTCACTTTAAAGTGGCAGGCTAATAACTTATTTAGCTGCCGTGTTCGATGCTGTTCCTCATCTCCACCAGCATTTGATCATTCTTTCTAATTTTAGCCTTCCTAGAGCGTGAGTAGTACCTCGCTGTGGTTTAAATTTACATTTTCTGGATGAATAGTGATGTGGAGCACCTTCTCATGTGCGCATTATCCATTTACACATCTGTGAAGCACTCAAGTCTTTTCTCATCATTTTACTGGGTTTTCTTATTATTATATTCTTTATATATTCTACATACATTTCCTCGATCAGGTACGATTTACAAATATTTTCTCCCAGTCTGTGAGGAAGTTTCCTTATTTTTATTTATTTATTTATTTATTTATTTATTTATGCAACGGAGTCTTGCTGTGTTGCCCAGGCTGGAGTGCAGTGGTGTGATCTCGGCTCACTGCAACCTCCACCTCCTGGGTTCAAGCGATTCTCCTGCCTCAGCCTCCCGAGTAGCTGCGACTACAGGTGTGCGCCAGCATGCCTGTAGAGATGGGGTTTCACCATGTTGGCCAGGCTGGTCTTGAACTCCTGACCTCAAGTGATCCACCCGCCTCAACCCCCCAAAGTGCTGCGATTGCAGGCATGAGCCACCGCGCCTGGCCGCAGTTCCCTTCTGTTCCTTTTCCCTCTGCTTCTGAAATTCCAGTGACTTGTAATACAGTACCATCCCCTCATCCCCTCGCTCAATTGATGCTCTTCTTTTCTCCCCCCAGGAATTTTTCTGTTTTTCATTTTAGGGATTTGCCATTCCTATTGCTTCCAGTTTACCAGCTTTCCTTCTGCAGTGTCTCCCTCTGATGCTAATCCCATCCATCTTTTTCATGTCAGTTTTCTACCTGTCAACTTTTTCTACCAGTTTTTATTATTGTTCCTTTGAACCTTCTTTCCTGCCTTCTTTTTAGTTGAATATTTTTTACAATTTCATTTTAGCTATCAGTTTCTTACCTCTACTTTTCACTTCTTTCCCCATATCTTTCATGTCTGTATTATGCTTACACTTAGCTCTACCTTCTTGAGCATATGAAGCATATTTATAATAGGGGTTTTAACGTCCTTGTCTCCTAACTCAGTCTGTCAATTCTGGATCTGTTTCTGTTGATTGATTCTTATTATTATGGTTCATTATTTTCTGCTTCTTTGGATGTTTGATAGTTTATTATTGGATTCCAGACATTGTGAGTGTTTTAGGTTGTTGGGTGATGGAGTCTCTCTCTCAGTGTGTGTGTGTGTTCTTTTAAATATTTTTGACTTTTGTTCTGGGACAAGGTTAAGTTACTTGGGAATAATGTCATCATTTTGCAGCTTGCTTTTTAGCTTTGTTAGTGGGGTCTAGAACAGCCTTGAGTCTAGTGCTAATTTTGTTCCACTATCCAGGCAGTACCCTTGTGAGGGCTCTGCTCTTCTCACTGACTCCTGTACTGGGAGATCTTTCCACTCTGGCCGGTGGGAGTGCAAACAATTCCCGGCCATGTGTGACCACTCTGTCTCCAGCCACGTGTGACCACTCACTGTCCGGCCATGTGTGATCACTCACTCCCCGGCCATGTGTGATCACTCTCTGGCCATGTGTGTTCACTCTCTCTCCGGCCACGTGTGATCACTCTCTCTCCGGCCATGTGTGTTCACTCTCTCTCCGGCCACGTGTGACCACTCTCTCTCCGGCCACGTGTGACCACTCACTGTCCAGCCATGTGTGATCTCTCTCTCCAGCCACGTGTGACCACTCACTCCCCGGCCATGTATGATCACTCTCTCTCTGGCCATGTGTGTTCACTCTCTCTCCGGCCATGTGTGATCACTCACTCCCCGGCCACGTGTGACCACTCTCTCTCCGGCCACGTGTGACCACTCTCTCTCTCCGGCCACGTGTGACCACTCTCTCTCCCCGGCCATGTGTGATCTCTCTCTCCGGCCATGTGTGATCACTCTCTCTCCGGCCATGTGTGATCACTCTCTCTCCGGCCATGTGTGATCACTCACTCCCCGGCCATGTGTGATCTCTCTCTCTCTGGCCACGTGTGACCACTCTCTCTCCGGCCACGTGTGACCACTCACTGTCCAGCCATGTGTGATCTCTCTCTCTGGCCATGTGTGTTCACTCTCTCTCCGGCCATATGTGATCACTCTCTCTCTGGCCATGTGTGTTCACTCTCTCTCCAGCCATGTGTGACCACTCTCTCTGGCCACATGTGACTACTCTCTCCCCGGCCATGTGTGACCACTCACTCTCCAGTCATGTGTGAGCTCTCTCTCTCCGGCCATGTGTGCTCACTCACTCCCCAGCCACGTGTGATCACTCACTCCCCAGCCACATGTGATCACTCACTCCCCGGCCACGTGTGATCACTCACTCCCCGGCCACGTGTGATCACTCACTCCCCGGCCATGTGTGATCACTCTCTCCCTGGCCATGTGTGATCTCTCTCTCCCTGGCCATGTGTGATCTCTCTCTCCGGCCATGTGTGATCACTCACTCCCCGGCCATGTGTGATCTCTCTCTCTCCAGCCATGTGTGATCACTCACTCCCCGGCCATGTGTGATCTCTCTCTCCAGTCATGTGTGATCACTCTCTCCCCGGCCATGTGTGATCACTCACTCCCCAGCCATGTGTGATCTCTCTCTCTCCGGCCATGTGTGATCACTTACTCCCCGGCCATGTGTGATCACTCACTCCCTGGCCATGTGTGATCACTCACTCCCTGGCCATGTGTGATCTCTCTCTCCAGTCATGTGTGATCACTCTCTCCCCGGCCATGTGTGATCTCTCTCTCCCCGGCCGGCCATGTGTGATCTCTCTCTCTCCGGCCGTGTGTGATCACTCACTCCCCAGCCATGTGTGATCACTCACTCCCCGGCCATGTGTGATCTCTCTCTCCAGTCATGTGTGATCTCTCTCTCCCCGGCCATATGTGATCACTCTCTCCAGTCACGTGTGATCTCTCTCTCCCCGGCCATATGTGATCACTCTCTCGTCCGTGTGATCTCTCTTCCCCGGCCTATGTGATTCACGTCTCTCTCTCTGGGCCATGTGTGATCATCACCCCCGGCTATGTGTGATCACGTGTCTCTCTCCAGCCATGTGTGACCTTTCTCCGGCTATGGTGTGATCATCAACGTCCCCGGCCGATGTGTGATTCTCTCTCTGGCCATGTGTGATCACTCACTCCCCGGCCATGTGTGATCTCTCTCTCTGGCCATGTGTGATCACTCACTCCCCGGCCATGTGTGATCACTCACTCCCCGGCCATGTGTGATCTCTCTCTCCGGCCATGTGTGATCACTCTCTCCCCGGCCATGTGTGATCTCTCTCTCCAGCCATGTGTGATCTCTCTCTCTCCAGCCATGTGTGATCACTCACTCCCCGACCATGTGTGATCTCTCTCTGGGGATTGTTCCACCTGATTATTTCCTACAGTCTTTGCCTGGCCTCAGTTGCTTTCGTCACTTGTGTGCACTATTCAGCACTCAGATAAGACTCGGATAGAACCCTCTGCAGGACTCCGAAGTGCTCTCTCTCTCTGTTCTCTCCTGTCCAGTACTGTATCCCACTAGTTCTGGCCACCTGGGCATCCTCAAACTATGAACTTTCTTCTCCTCAGCATAGGGAGACTGCTGGCTCTGTTACCCTCTTCTGCACTGTGGCCTGAAAACTCTCTCTTGAGGCAGTAAGCCGGGAAACTGAATTTATATTTGTGAAATGTCCCGTTTATCTCGGGTAATTGTCTTGAGATATAGCAAATCTAACACTGGTGTAGCTAGTCCTGCATTTTATGCTGTGTTTTGCAGGGTTTTTCCTTCCTTTCACCTTCTGCCCATCTGTATCATTGTATTTAAAGTATATTGCTGATAGCACAGAGTTGAGTTTTTCTAGATTTCTGATAATCTCTGCCTTTTAATTGGAATGTTTTGTCCATTTACAGTTAATATAATTAATATGGCTTGATTTTAGGCTACCATTTTTGTTTGGTTTGTCCTACCAGTTTTATTATTGTTCCTTTGAACCTTCTTTCCTGCCTTCTTTTAAGTCAGTTGAATACTTTTTTCAATTTCATTAAAAAGCTATCAGCTTTTTATCTCTACTCCTCTCTTTGCATTATATTTCTAGCGTTTGCCCTAGGGATCACCATAAACATACTTATCACATTAGAGTTAGCAGGTAGGTCCATTTACCCACCCACGTCCCTACCTATATGTGTCAAATGTATAACATTGAAATGTATTATAAACACAATAGAGTGTTACAATTTTTGCTTTCAACAGTCGTATGTTTTAACGAAATTAAAAGGAGGCTGGGCGCAGTGGCTCACGCCTGTAATCCCAACACTTTGGGAGGCCGAGGCGGGTGGATCACAAGGTCAGGAGATCAAGACCATCCTGTCTAACACGGTGAAACCCCATCTCTGCCAAAAAAATACAAAATAATTAGCCAGGCGTGGTGGTGGGTGCCTGTAGTCCCAGCTGCTGGGGAGGCTGAGGCAGGAGAATGGTGTGAACTCAGGAGGCAGAGCTTGCAGTGAGCCGGGATCACGCCACTGCACTCCAGGCTGGGTGACAGAGCGAGACTCCATCTCAAAGAAAAAAAAAAAGAAAGAAATTAAAAGGAAAGAAACAGTCTTTTACATTTACTTACATATTTACCATTTCTGGTGTTTTTTTTTTTTTTTTTTTTTTTTTTTTTTGAGGTGGTTTCACTCTTTGTTGCCCAGGCTGCAGTGCAGTGGTACAATCTCGACTCACCACAACCTCCACCTCCTGGGTTCAAATGATTCTCCTGCCTCAGCCTCCTGAGTAGCTGGGTTTACAATCATGCACCACCACGCCCAGCTAATTTTGTATTTTTAGGGGAGACGGGGTTTCTCCATGTTGGTCAGGCTGGTCTCGAACTCCAGACCTCAGGTGATCCGCCCGCCTCGGCCTCCCAAAGCACCATTTCTGGTGTTCTCACTTCTTCCCAGTGATTCGGCTTTGCCTGCAGTATCATTCCTCTTCAGCCTGAGCTCCCGTTAGCATTTCTTCAAGTTCAGGTCTCCTGATGAGTTGTCTTACTTTTCATTAACCTGAAATGTATTTATTTTGCCTATATTCTTTAAGGTTGTTCTCATCAGATAAAGAATTCTGAGGCCGGGCGCGGTGGCTCACGCCTGCAATCTCAGCACTTTGGGAGGCCGAGGTGGGAGGATTTCTTGAGGCCAGGAGTTCAAGTCCAGCCTGGGCAACAAGTGAGACCCCATCTCTGAAAAAAACAGCAAGGCACGGTGGCACACACCTGCAGTCTTAGCTGCTTGGGAGGCCGAGGTGGGAGGATTGCTGGGCCCAGGAGGTTGAGTCTGCAGTGAGCTGCGAAAGAACCACTGCACTCCAGCCTGGGCAACAGAGCAAGGTCCTGACTCAAAAAAATCCTGATTTGACAGATTTTTTTCCTTTCAGCACTTGAATGTTTTCCCTATGTCTGGGCCTCCATTGCTTCTGGAAGAGTCAGCTGTGGGCTGTCTCTGGGGCCCTTACGTGTCACTATCTCTCCATCTCCCACCACACTGGCTGCTGTCATGATTTTCTTTTTGAATTTGTATTTCAGCAGTGTGATAATGATGTTGCTAGGTGTTTTCATTTTATTTATCCTGGGCTTTTTGGATTTATATTTGTGTTTCACCAAATTTGGGAAATTTGCTCTTTTTTCCTTCTGGGACTCCAGTTAAATGTTAGGTCTTCCATATCTAGCAGACACACATTTGCGATTACTGCTCATTATTTTCTGTTTTCTGTCCTTTGGACTAATTTGTATTTACAGACTTTCTTTAGCTGTCTTCAATCTGCTGTTAACCTCTCCAGCAATTTTTTTAGTGCTTGTATTTTTCAGCCCTAGAATTTACACTTAGTTCTTTTTTTTATTGGCTAAAATTGCCTATGTGTTAATTTGTTTAAAATATATTTTCCTTTATATCCTTGAACAGAGTTGTAACTGCTGCTCTAAAATTTTAGCTACCAGTTCCAATATCTGGGTCATGTAGGATTGATCTCCATTACTTGCCTTTTGAGTATGGATCTAATTTTCCTGTTTCTTATGTCTAGTCATTTTTTTGTATCATGGACATTTTGGATAATCCATTGTAGAGACTCTGGATTCTGTTACATTCCTCCAAAGAGTTTTGCTTTTTTTGGTTCGTTTTATTAGGCAATCACCTTTGCTCAGCTCTGAGTAGAAACTCTTTCCCCTGTGGTGGATAGCAGCTGAAATCCTTGCTGGTAGCTTGAGTTGGCCATCTTAAAGTCTGCGCCTCCCCTGCCTCACATGTAGTGTGGGAGCAACTAGTGATGAGGGCAGGGTATGCCCAGGATTTGGGCTCCCCTCTATGACCTGCTGCATCCCCACATTTCCACCTTCACATTCCAGCTGCTGTGGTCAACAAAAATCTTGATTCTGGTTCTTTAAGCCTGGAAAAGGGTAGGCTTCTATGTGGCTCTCTGATCCCCACACTGGCCCTGACTTCTACCCTGAGGCAGAAAGTTGTGAGAAGCGGCCGGGTGCGGTGGCTCACGCCTGTAATCCCAGCACTTTGGGAGGCCGAGGCAGGCAGATCATGAGGTCAGGAGATGGAGACCATCCTGGTTAACACGGTGAAACCCCGTCTCTACTAAAAATACAAAAAATTAGCCGGGCGTGGTGCCAGGCACTTGTAGTCCCAGCTACTAGAGAGGCTGAGGCAGGAGAATGGCGTGAACCCAGGAGGCGGAGCTTACAGTGAGCTGAGATCACGCCACCGCACTCCAGCCTGGGAGACAGTGAGACTCTGTCTCAAAAAAAAAACAAACGAAACAAAGTTATGAGAAGCAGGAAGCCGGCCCAGTGCCACCCGCTCCCAGCATCTGCCTGCTCACAGCTGCCCCCAGTGCCTTTCCACGTGTCTGTCGTTGTTAGAGGGGGGGCTGCTCTCATAGGAGACGTGCTCCTGTTGTCAGAAGCCTCTCTTCTTATTCTTTTTCTTTTTTTTTTGAGACAGAGTCTGGTTTTTGTTGCCCAGGCTGGAGTATAGTGGTGCGATCTCAGCTCACTGCAAGCTCCGTCTCCCGGGCTCAAGCAATTCTCCTGCCTCAGCCTCCCAAGTAGCTGGGACTACAGGTGAGTGCCACCACACCCAGCTAATTTTCGTTTTTTTTTTTTTTTTTTTTTTTGGTAGAGACGGTGTTTCACTGTGTTAGCCAAGATGGTCTCGATCTCCTGACCTCGTGATCCACCCGCCTCGGCCTCCCAAAGTGCTGGGATTACAGGCGTGAGCCACTGTGCCCGGCCTCTTTTTCAACCATAATTCAACATACAGAATTCCACACACCTGCATGTGTCAGACCCTGCAGCTTTGCTGATGCCTGCAGGGCCTCCGCACCCACCAGTTGTGTTGCCCTAGCAGATAGTTCCCGGGGCTCACAAACTGAGTATTGAGAAACGAACTTGAGAAACGTGCTGGTGACTGTGTGGGCCTCACTGGACTGCAGTCTCCAGAATTCACAGGAAAGCTCCCCGGCAGTGGCTTTTCCTCAGGGCTGAAGGGTCAGCCCCGTGAAACACAGACTCCCTGATCCGGCTGCTCACGCCCCTCTGCGCCCTTCCACTTCCATCCACTGGCCCCTTTTGCTGCTGGAAAAACAACTCAGTCTAATCCTAACAAGGTTTCTTTGTTGTTGTTGTTTGGTTTGGTTTTGAGACAGGGTCTTGCTGTGTCACCCAGGCTGGAGTGCAGTGGCACAGTCACGGCTCCCTGCAGCCTCAGCCTCCCATGTTCAAAGGATCCTCCTGAGTGGCTGGTGTGCACCACCGCGCCCTGCTCCAGCAGGGTTTCTATTTCTAGGAGAACTATAGTTTTACATATAAAAGCAAAATTGGACTATAGAGATGCCCAGACTGCTATATCCTCAAAATTAACAGAAAATCCACATTTTAAATATTTCACCAACTTCTTTATTGTCTCTATG